AAGCTGGAGAACCGGAGTGGGCTGCAACACGGCCAAATGAGGGAGTGTCCTTGGTTCTGTGCTTGTCTGGAAGGAGGGGTTCCTCTGAGGCTGGTGCACTGCGTGGTGGATCTCGGCAGCAGCTCCTGCAGGCCGAGCGGCGTGCAGTGCCTCCCAGAGACTTGTGTCGCTCACCCGGACAACCCTGAGAACATTTCTACGATTCCTTTCGACTGAGTTGCGCCCTGCTTTGCTCAGGTTGGGGCCTGTCGTGCTGTGGCCCAGCTGAGCTTTGTTGCTAGTTTTTGCTTGGCACATCTCTTTTCAGCACCAAGGTGCGGTGACCCCACTGTGCCTGGCTGGGTTGTGCTTGCAGCACGCAGCGCTGCATCAGGAAGTCAGGAGGAAAAAGGTAATTGCTTTTTGCGTCGAACTCCCTCCACGACTGTTGCGATATACCAGACATGCATAGCACCATGTTTTCCTAGAATCTAGAAGTCATGTGACCAGACCACTTGTTGATCAAGCAGTGTTTAAGACATCAGGCAAGTGCTCTGCCTCCATTCAGCATAGACCGCAATGCAAATGCAGGCTCGTTGCTCCGTGCCTCCCACGGTCATCTCTCGGTCATGCTGCTAAGCCTCTCTGACGGCCATAGCCCTGAACAAAACACCTCACACAAGCCCATTCCCTGCATCTCACATAGCGCACTGACTGAAGTACCCGTTGATGTTGGAAGCCTCCATTCAGTGTGGCGTCATGTTGGAGAGGGTCACAGACCGAACATGCCAATCTATGGCCACAGCCTTGCAGCATCGTGTTGGAAAGACAATAAGCAGGCCCTGTGGCGTTCGGCGCGTTCGGGCTCGGATTCAGTTTCAGTTCTTGTAGTGTTTTTACTGCTTTTGGTCCCGCCAGGTGCCGCCAGGGCTGTTGCCATGAATGATGCTGTCGTCAGTTTTGGCTGTGGTGTGGCAGCTGCTGTGGTGTGGCGCTCTCATGGGGAGTTTATGTGCATGCTCGCAAGCAAATAACGCTCAACACGGCGTTGTCATGGTTGCAGCCGGCTGGGAGCGTGTGGCTTTGGCATGGTCAAGTTTGCGAGCTTTGCGGGCTCTTGGCTGTCAGTGGCCAATCGAACTGTGGCACCTAGGGGATGGCAGCATCACCGGAGAAGTCAAGGCGCGTTTCAAGAGTGAGCTTGATGTGGAGCCTGTGGATGCCCGCTTTGCGGCTGCCGAGTTTGGCCCGGTGCCACCACATCGTGAGGAGGCGCAGGTGCACTGTCTGCAAGGTGATCCTCTTGCATACATCCTGCCGCCCTTTGCTGTGCACTTGAGTCGCTTTTCGCACGTCTTGCTTCTTTTCCCGGACTGGGTCGCATTTGAAAACGTTTGTGTGGAGTCGACATGGAGAATTCCTGGATCCAGTGCCTTTTTCCATGCTGGAAGTGCAAGAGTGCAAGACTTGGCCTACTATCCAAAAGCCTGGCTGCAAGCCGGGCTTTCCGAGCTCCTTGCTGACGAGTGGGAAGTTGACGAGTCAGCTCTCTTCTTGGACAAGGCCCAGTGCAAGCTCGGTGCTCAGACAGTTATGGACCTTGTCCGAAGAAACGTTGCGAATGCAGAATCTGGCCAGGATGTGTCCAGCCTCTTCCCATGTGGCACAAATGCCTATTGGCGTCCGTCTTGGGAGTTGGCCGGTTGCTCCTGGCATGTGTGTCGCTTTCCTTCGGCCCTGCTTGGCCTCCGCACAATCAAAACCGAGGAGCTTCAGCCGTTCATGGGTGGTGGACGTGGTGCACGAGCCAATGATGACGGACGTCTCTTGGGAGTACATTTTCAGTGGTCGAAGTATTTCTGGCTCAGCAGGCCATCTCCCAAAATGCCAATGATTTTGGACAAGGCATCTTTGATATTAGAACCTGTATGGGACTTGGAGAGCAGCAAACTGACCATCATCAGTTTCTCGAATTCACCCTACTTTCATTTCGTCCAGTTTGAGAATTGCAGCCGATGTGATTTTGTGGAGGTGTCAGAGGTGATTTCTGGATCGTGGGCTACTTGGGTTGAGATTTGGACTGCCGCGTGGAGGGAGGCTTTCACATCGGTGGTGAGCTGCCCAGAAAATGAGGAGGACTGGGCTTGCTGGAACGTGAAACCTTGTCCACCTCGGCCCTGTGCCTTTGACGGAAACCTCGCGGACCAAGCCGATTTTCAGAAGTTTGAGAAGTCTGAGGAAGCCCTTGCTTGGGAGAAGTCGAGCGTCGAGCAGAAGGACACCCAAAAATCTCGGTCCCTCTCGGTGCTGCTGCCGCGCGATTTCGGAGAGCTTTGGGTCAGTGCTGGGTTTGCCAAGATCCCGCGCTGGATCCAGCTCTTCCAGCTGTGTTGCAAGCCTGGGCAGCCTGGGCAGCTTCGGCAGGGACATGATGCAGAAGGATCAGGAAGCTTTGAGTGTGCTTCCGGTGAGTCTGGCACGATTGCTAGCACATACTTCCTGGAAATCGTGGGGCTCTTCGAAAGCTGGGCGAGTCTGCTTCTGGATGTTGTTGATGCGCGCGCAAATCAACATCTTTCTGTTTCTCATCTCGAAGCAAGGTTTGTTGCAGATGTGCAACGCCTGGAAGGGCATGCGGAGCAGCTACAAGCAAGGGTTGACTTGCCACAGCTCCTTGCTCCAGAAGCAGCACGCTTCTGGGAGGTCTTCCAAGATGCCAGCCGCGGCGTTCTTGAGGAACTCTTTGCTGAGATATTTGATGCTGCTGCGCTTACGACAGCTGTACTGTGGTTTGGCAGCGAGATCAGTCTTTGGTTCAGCTTGCTGCATGGTGCGCAAATCGAAGCCCGCGAATGCCTTCCCTTCGGCAACTTGAACAGCAAGCCACCCAAGCCACGTGCCACGCGTGCGAGCCTGGCGCCTGGAGCTGGCCATGTCGCATCGCAAGCTTTGGTGCGTCTTCTGCAGGCTTCAGAGGCTTCGATATCCACGGCACTGCGTGGTGTGGAAGTTGGAACCCGAGCCGGGCTTTTTGCCGAGGCCTTGCTCCAAGCGGAGCCTCGCTTGCAGCTGATGGTCGTGGATCCTTTTGAGCACGTTTCGGAGACGTATAAAAGCCAAGACGGGGAAGAGCAGGAGAACGACTTCTTCTCAAATGCGACAGCGGAAGCGGCCTGGAGGCGGCTCGCAGCACTTCGGCCTCGTGTGCATTTTTTCACCACGGATAGTGTGACTGCCAGCCAGTGGATTCAAGATGGCTCCTTGGACCTAGTGTTCATCGATGCAGATCACAGCTATGATGCCGTCAAGGCCGACCTTGCGGCCTGGGTTCCGAAGCTGCGGAAGGGAGGTGTGCTCAGCGGACACGACTACAACAGTGCTTTTCCTGGGGTCGTTGATGCTGTGCAGGACTTCTTTGCAACTAGTCACTCTCGCGCTAGCAAACTGTGGCTGGGCCCTGATTCGCTGTGGTTTACGCTTCTCACCTGATGAATCGTTTCGGCGGGGCTTGGCGAAGCGCTCGAAACCCTCTTGACCTAGTTATTGCAACTGCAGTTGAGGCAGGAGACTCACAAACCCTTGCGTTCGCCTGTTCGGATGGAGCTCTCAAGCATGGACATGGGTAGTTGTCATCAGACCTGTTTCGGTTACGTAGAACATACCTTGCCAACGCGGGCAACTGGTTGTATGCCCTTACTGCATTGCGACCTACTGGTCAGTCTGCGGAGCTGTACTCAATCTGTTGTTCAATCAACCTGCAAGCCATTCAGCCTCACCTGCTGGACTCCACTTAACTCGACAACACGCTGGCGCGAGCCGCCACGCACCCCATCCGGCAGACCGCCCAGGTTCTTCGCTCCCTTGAGCGTTGCGCAATACAGGAGAAGAGGCCTGCCTCTACTCGCAGTATTGTTGCTACAGGCTCTCTGAGTCCAAGCTTGCACAGCGGAGATACCTCCGGCGCCTGATTGTTTGGGGGATCTGTTGGCAACGGAACGTTTTGCAAGACTTGGGTCCACTTGGGTACCAGTACGATTGGAGAGCAACTACGCAAGGCACAACTCCTGCTTAATTGGCATCACTGTCGCCTTCTTCCATCGTGTTTGGCACTTGCTCCCGGTGTCAGTCTGCTGCCCAGCCGCTAAGCAGCGGCATGCGTCCTGACATAAGCCGACAGCCCGTAGACACAGCGTCGACACATTTTTGAGGACAAGGACATAGATGTTGAAGCAGACGACGTCGGGCCGTTGCTGCATGAGATTTTGTACACATGATTGTCTTGTCATTGGCAACTGAGGTTGTTTCCAGTGCCGTGTAAGCAAAGTTCCATCTTTTGGCCTGTAGAGGAACTGCAAGCGAGAAAAATGCGCCATGGCAGCAGTGCGTTAAAGCTCCCTATCTACTTCAGCAATTTCAGCAGTTCCAGCATGCCTCGTGCGTTTTGGGCTTAGGTGCTTGTTTGGGTTTGTTAGGACGAACGAGGAGATGAGGATTCTTACTTGCTGATAATCAGGCCAGAGAAGCTGTGCCAACTGGAAGAGCAAAGGAAAGCTATTGGATCTGGCAAAGTCTGCGAACTCCAGCCGTCAAATCGGGTTGACAGTCTCGCAGCCGCTAGACAAACCGAACGTTGCAACATGAACGTAGTGGCTTCAGCTGAGTTGACTCACGTTGCGACTAGCCAGCACGTTTTTCCGGATGAACATGAACAAGCCTCTTAGCTGCATCACACTCCACTACAGGGAAACAGCCATATGTAAACACCCTTTTGGGCTTCTTGCTTAAAGCGACTGCAACAAAGGGAATGGAAGCAACGTACAGATTCGTGTCAGCTGAGCCTGTTCTTAGGCTTTGATGGCCGGGAAGAACGGAACGTCATGCTCAATATTCATCAAGGCCCCCTGGGCTTGATAGGCTGTTCCTAAAATCATTTTTAACACGGTGCTAGAAAGACAGGCTGTAACGGTGCACTTCATGTTCCGCGGGTGTCATGGAAGACGTCCCGTCACCCGCTGTGCCTCATGGGTGGGCTATGCTGCGTGCAGAAGCGCTTAGATACTTCGGTGGACTGGATCCGGGAAAGCCTTCCTGTTGCGCTGAGCGATGACGTTGATGTCGGCGTCCGCTTTGCGCCTCGGGTCGCCGACATGGAAAGTCCCGAGCGTTCCAAGAAGAGCCAAACCCAGGGCCGCGACGACTTTGCCGAGGAGGTGGCCTTCCAGATCGCGCTTGACCGCCAGGGCGACTTCAGGGAGCGACGGTCTGGGTAAAACCCAACACCCGAACCTCAGACCCAAAAGGAATTCAAGGAGTCTGCAGCATCAGGCCTAATTAGTCGGGGTAGAGCTAGGGGTGGGTAGCGTGTAAGGGAAATGGAAAAGGTAAGCGCGAGGGCCAAACCAGACCCCCTGTCGAATACGAACCCTTGGCCAAGGCCTCCCCCCTTTCCGAAGAACCCGAAGAACCTTCTGCACCTTCTTCTTTTATTGTGCTCTTTCCCTTCCTGGCAGGTCAGAGTTGGTCGAGGCAGCCTCCTGGCTGCCTGTGCTTTACGAAGTTTGTCCGCCGGGCCAGGATGAAATACCGCACCTCGCCAAGGCGGTCCACAGGAAAACTAAAGTTCCCCGGCACCTTGCCAGCTTTCGCAGGCCTTCCGGCTCAGCGGCGCAAGAACGGCTACACTCCTTCATCTCTTCGATGCAGCGTATTTCTGCTGAGCATGAGGCAGTGGCTAAAGTACTTGAGGTCTTCGAGGATTACCTCAATGTGCACATTATCCAAGAGCTTTGCACTGGGGGCTCGGTGTATGAACGCATCCTGGAACGACAGTATTTCACTGAGCAGGAAGCGGCGGTGCTTGTAAAACACATGCTCCAAGCTCTGGCCCCGTTTCACGAGAGCCATCTGTATCATGGAAGTTGCCTGGCTGAATTCTTCCTGTTCTCAGCATGGCTGCAGGGTTTCAGCATCCCGCCTTCCTGATGTTTTCTTACTTCGTTGATCTTCTTAAGCGCAGCACCTAGGTCTGAGCCCCGAGTGCTTCCGGTTCTTGAACAGCTCTCCCCACTCGCCGCTGAAGCTGGTGGACTTCGGCCTCGAGCTGAAGGCAAATGACATCTCTGCAATCTGCTTGTCCAGAGTAGTTGGGCTTTTTTGCAGGCTCATCGCTGGGATGCCGTGGAGCACGTGAGTGGCCCCGACCTGCAAAACCCTTGCAACTTGGCAAGAATTTAGCGTTGCAATGGCTTGGACGAAGATGCCTGGCGTGACCTCTGCGAGGTCTCCCAGAGTTCTTCGAGACCTGCAAGCTGGTCTTCTGCGCACCGGATTTTGCGCCGCCCCAGCAAGCCAGGCCCATTCAGCAGCTCCATGAGAACCATGAGATGAGAGGATGTCCCTAGGCACTAGACTCTAGACTGACAGGCGGAAGAAGGACGCGGATTGCAATCCAGTGGAGATGGCAGCCTATAGCAATGTGGAGGAAGTTCGTGAGGCCCATGCTTCTTCAGATGTTTGATTGCAAGTCGTGGCAGCGCGTGGCAGCGTGTATGTTTGTCAGCTGTTCCGGCTGCAGCCAGCCTGGGATTTGGCAGCTCATTACAGTCTAGATCGAGTTTTAGGATTTATCAGGAGGCTGCTTCCAGGATTGCAAGACTTTGGATCGCAGTCGTTGCCTGTCATCACTCCCAATCATGTTTTGTGAAGATATCTGCTGGCTGTTGGAAGCTGGCATTCTGCTCTCAACATGTTGTTCTGGTGTGCGGCTTTAACTCGCAGGAAACTTCAGCAGTTGCACTCTCAGAGGCATGTTTTGCATCACCTCTCCCCCCCATGGTGCAGGAGCAAGGCGAGATGAGCCTCCTGGACGAGGAGCTATTGGCAAACGTCTTGAGTGAGCACGCGGACTGGGTGGAGGAGCTACTAGTGAATTACTTGGTATCCTCATATTCAGATATATTCAGTACGAGTATAAAGGGGCCTGAATTTTGCCACCTGTACTTCAACTGCCCCACTGCTCTTGCCAGAAGTGTTTGGGCTTTCAGCTTTCAGTATTCAATACTGAGCAGGCGTCGATGTGCCGGTGGTACGGCAGGACCATAGCAAATGCGAGATATTCATTTTGAGCCTGGTGATTACTGCGCCAGTGCTAAGCAAGTTTAAGGGCTTGCCATCCCTGTCCTCTTGAGCACTAAGAAGACCTGGCCTAGGTGGGCTCGGAAGTCAAGGCAAGACAAGCTGCAGCAGCCTTTGCAGTAAGAAGAAGAAGAATTTGTTTCGGTGCCAGCAGTCTTTGCAGGAGCAAAGGTTGACGATGGAAGGCTCTACAAGCTCCCCAGCAGCAGCTTGTGCAGATTGACATTACTTGAACGAGTACTTGTGGGCCTTGTGGGTGGGAAGTACTCAAGTGAGGATAGAGATGCCAAGCTCTGAAACCCTTGAAACCCCAAAGCCCTTGAAATATTTCTTCATCCGGCAGCTGGCTGCACCGCTGCTTTGAGCTACTCCGTGCAAGCCTTCAGGGTGGAAGGTTGTGGAAGGTTGCGGGAGGTAACAGTAGAAGCCTTGAGGCCTTTGGCCGTAGCCCTAGAGCCCCAGTCATCACCCAACGGCCTGAACCCTAAGCCCTAGACCCGAGCCCCTAAGCCCCAAACCCTTAGCCCACACAACCGAACCTTTTCACACCCTAAACCCTAAAGGCGCCACTCAAAAGCGCAAAGCCCAAAGCTCGAGACCGTGAAGCCCTAAGCCTTAAACCCTGAATCCAAGACTCCAAACCCTAGACCATAAACCCTGAACTGTAAGAAGTTGGATAGAAGCCACGAACCCGAACGCAGCCACGCAACATGTATTCTCGTGGATTCTAAAGCATCAACACGGGGCCTCAAGAATGTTTCACAATGGGCTCCATTCCCCACTCCACTCGCTCCCACTCCCCACTGCGCTTCACCTCACTACTTTCAACACCGCTTTCCGTTCCACCTTCCACTCCACTGTCCTCCCCAACTCTGAGTGCTAACGCCCGGCCTCGACCCTGGAACCCCTGACGCCCAAAACCCCTTGAACCCTAGGACCCTAAACCGTAAAGCCCAGTAGCCCAAGAATGGACACTTGGACTGAGACTACGTCCCCCTCCGAGTATAGAGAACAATTACTCCCTTGCCAAATTTGCCTCCGCCGAAAAGAGAGACGCTCCTGTTTGCGGTAGTTCATTCCAAAGACAGAAGGCCAGGTCACTTGAAAGATCCTGTTGGAAAGGTTTATAACCAGTTGCCTTGCCTGAATTCATGCGAGGCCCGCTTGTGTTCACGCCCAGAGGCTAGCCAGGCCCATAACTACGGACCATCATCGAACACCAGCACTAAGCCCTCAACCCTGAAAACTTTAATCCCCAATCAGCCGAACCCAAAGCCCTCGAATCGAAACCCCTAAATCCTGAAGCCCTACCAACAAGCCTAAACAAAAGAAATCCGAAAGAGACGTTCTTGTGGTATGATGGCATGTAGTTGCAATGGTTGCAGACGACTCGCGCCGAGTTTTTTTGAAAGTGCTGCAAGGGGTAGCAAACAGCTCTCAATGCACGGGTGAGGGGGTTAAATGCTGTCAAGGACCAGGTTTTCACCTAAATGGCCGCAATTCACTCAAATCCTTTTTTAGAGATTACTGGCAGGCGGAGTATTTCGGCGCAAATGACACTTTTTCCTTGTGGGTAAATTTGGGGTTGTAGCCCTTTTGGCAACCCTTCTGTCTCACCTCTTGTAAGGGACCTCACTCATGGGGTCTTTATCTCCAATATCTCCAAGATCTCCAGGGTCCGCTCATCTTGCCTTGCCCCCAGCCTCGGAAACAGTGCCGTCTGGGATGTAGAGAGCTAAGGCTACTGTACCAAAAACGAAGCAGCCGATGTCTGGAGCATCGGCGCCATGGCTTTTCTGCTCCTTTGTAGCCAGTCTGCACTCCAACACATGTGGTTTGCCTTGCGGCTCAACAAGTTTTCATTGCTTTGGGCTTTGCAAGCCTGAGGTGGCTACCCGCCCTTCTTCGCTCCGTCGCGGAACGCCATCCTGGGGCGGATCCATCGCTGCGAGGTAGCCTTCGACCCACCCTTCTGGTCCAAGATCTCGGAGGAGGCACCTAGGATCTAAGCCCGTGCAGCTTAGATAGCCGCCAGGTAGCACCGCGATAAAGATTGCCAGGCCAAGAGCTTCGTATCCAGCTGCTTGCAGCAATCCTTCTGGGATCGGTGTAGCATCCAGGCCAGAGCTGGTGAAACATTCCTTATGAAGTCTCGAAGTTTCCTGGGCTGCTGTTTTGACATCAGGAGGCCCTCAACCATCCATGGATCTTGCGGCTGGCTGACAGCTCGCCATCTGGCTCCATGTTCGCGTCGTTTATGCTGAACCTTCGTCGTTTCTACCGCACATCCCTGATAGAGACCTACACAGCCCGAATCCTTGCGTCAGAGTTTCGTCGGGAAGAGCTGCGGGAGTTTCTTTGCCGGTGCCGGGAGATAGACATGGCGGGTAGTGGCTTCTTCACAGCCTCTGACCTCAAGCACATCCTCTCAGCCTTGGGCCACCCTCAGATTGCAGAGTCCATTTCCAGCAGGTTTCTACAAACCTTCAGGCATCCAGGGGAGTCCTACATTGACTACATGGCCTTGCTGGACTCGGTCCACCTCCGCCAGCAACGCATGTTTGAGGATGAGCTCTGGCGCCACTTTCAGCGCGTCCTTCAAAGCAGCGGTCGCTGTGATGTGGATAGCATCTGCAGCTGCCTCTTCGTGAAGGACCTCGGGATTGTTCCTGGGACTTAGCACAATGGTAACGTGACAGCCGCTGCCCTGTTCCCCATCTCAGGTTTTTGGCGACCCGGTCATCGTGGGCCTTTTGATGCGCGAGATCCCTGACAGCCCGGGCTTGGAGGAGCCTTGGCCATCTGCAGTCCCAACGTACTTTTGATAGCTATGTTGGCTTTCTGAATGTGCGTTTCAGCCGGAGCTTCTGTTTCATGCGTTGTGTGATCCTCTTTCCTCATTAGATCAGTGGAATCTACTCGTAGAGGTTGGAGAAGCCACTTGCACTGAGGATGCCAGCGTTTGCCATCGCCTTCAGGTGGGGCTACGGGCCGAGTGCATGCAGCGTGGCACAGAGCAGCTGGACTTCCGACGGCTTTGCGCCGTGCTCCTCCAGCAACTCCGCCAGTTCTAAGTTCCGTGCCAATGCGCCGGGTTCCTTCGCGGCAGAAGCGCCGAGCGAGGTGGTGAAAAGCGTGTCGCCGTTTTTTTTTCAAGCGAGGAGGAATCAGATTGACCTTGTGTCGACAAATCGCTGTTGTGTCCAGCTGCGGAGTAGAACAGTAGATGCTATAGTCATGGCAGAGAACATGCAGCTTCCTGGGGTGCGGGAGTTTCGAGCAGCAAACATGGCACAGCCCTTTGCCTACGCAAACGCTTGTATATCTCGTATTGACGTATTGATTCACACGTTCCATTTTTACTTGAGCCATGCGGGCCATCGAAGCGGTGGCAGATCTGGGCGCCCTGAATCAGTGGGCCTTTGAGTACCACATTGCCTCTGAGGCTTTGGCTTTAAGCAGTTGCCGAGTCCCACACGTGCGGCTTTCATGTTGCACACATGTGTTCCGTGTGCGTGATGTTGAGGCTGCGGAGCCCAGGAGGAGGACTCGCGGAGTGCCTCGGAGATCAACAGACCTGAGAATGGATTTCCCAACATGAGTTCTTAATGACGGGGTGCCTTGCCATGTCAGATTTGAAGTGCCCGCCGGGCGTGAGTACGCATTGCTATCCTCGATTTGGGTGGAGCCCAGGCGTCCAAGCCAACAACAGAGGCTGCGGGTGCGACCCCTCGGCTTTCTCGAGGAAGCACCAAGGAAGGCTGGGAAGGGTTTGCCAGCAGTGTGTCAACGCGTATCTTCTGGTTGTTGATTTTAAGCCATAAGCCCCACAGGCCTTTCCAAGTCTTTCAAGTCTAGCCAGGGCGACAGCCGCTGTGTACAGCAGCTTCTGTTTGCCTTCTGCCCAGGTAGCGGCTCCCGGAGCGGGTCCCTGGAGAGGACCCCTCTCCGAAGCTCCCTGAAAAGCAGGGATGAGGCCTGGACTCCTGGACCCAGGAAGTGCCAAGGAGCCTTTCGCTCCGAGCTCACGTCATGTCAGGACCGAGGCTCGGCGGCCACGACGCCGCCAAGAGCTCAGACTCCGCCGCTCGATCCCTTTTCACCATGCTCGTGCAACACCAAGGAATGGTGAAATGTGCCGAGTTCCGAGCAGGAACTCCCAAGCACGGTCTTCCAGAAGTACCAAGGACTCTGGTATGCAAGGTGTGGCTTTTTGCGTTTGCTTTCGCCCATTCTGGAGGAGCCTGTTCCCAGCAGCCCTTGCAGCGCTTTGGGCAGCCTGGCTTTGGAAAACACGGAGCCAAGCCCGGTCCCGAGCCCGGCCGCCAGCCAATCCCGGCACCTGGCGGCGTCGGACTTCGAGGCTCTAAGCAACACGAGCAGCTGCCAAGCAAGTTTCTTTCTCTTTCTGTCTGCTTCACTTCCAGGATGCGGGTTCCTTGGCCCTGGCCATCCGCGAGGCAATGCCTGAAACGCAGTCACAGATCTGCTGTTTTCGCTTCCATCTGGACTGCCTTCCAGGAGCGACCGTCCACCAGCACCTTGGCGCTTGCGACCCGCTCAGAGGACCTGGCACTGGTGCCTGTGTGCCCCGCCTTGATGTTAAGCTGAAGCTCCGCATTGCTACCCGGGTTACCATCCTGTAATCTTCCTTGTCTGAGCCCTCTGCTTTGAGGGCTCGTCCATCACCCAAGACGCGGCGGATGAAGACAGAGCTGCTCTCCACCCACCCGTGGCTTCAGCAGCTCCAGCAGAGGCCTTCCGCTGGCTTTACTTTTACTTTGATCCGTGCAGAAGGACAATGGCATGATGCCAAGGTCCCTGCACGGATCTGTTCCAAGTTCTCCAAGCGGTGCCCGTGCTTTTGGCGGAAAGCAGGCATGAGGAAGCTGTCGTGAAACCGAAGACTGTCATGAAAGTGGATTCAGGCATCGTCGGCTTCCACTTTGCCACCGCTGGATAATCTGCAGATCCAACTCCACGACGGCCAGAAGATGGAGGCCATTTTCAATGATGCAGAGTGCTGCAAGAAAACTCATGGGATCCTCTCTGAGTTGGTGGCGTACTCCTCTCCTCGAGCAGCTTCCCGCGGATCCTTCCAAGCGTCTGCGGAGGACCTTGAAGCCGGACTTTCTGCCGTGCATATGAGGCATCATGAGGGCTCCGCATGAGCAGAACAGTGAGGAGCCAAGGCCCGTCTCGAGGCATGGCCACCAGCTCTTGAGCCTTGGGTGCTGAGTACCAACAACAACGAGCAGCCATCTTGACCCACACGTAGTTGCTGCCTCCAAAATGGTCTAGATGAAGCATTTGTTTTCTCTGGCGGCCAGGTCCTTCCGAGATCTTGCCACCTGGGGCAGCAAGGACGAGAGGGACCTCATGGCCACCTCCACAAGCGGGTCTCCTGGCCAGATCCTGTCAGCATCAGCTCTTCACAGCAATCTTCACAGTATCCAAGTCTCCAAGTCTTCAGGCAGCGGCAAGAGCAGGGGCTGCTGCCGCAGAGCATCCGCTCCATGGACTTTTGGCGAGCCACAGAGCTTTTCAACCTCTTTGACCGGCGGACAGGCGAGGCAGCCACCATACGAAATATCTAACACTTAAGGCTGTGTCTGACTGTAGGTGAGCTGGACAAGCTGGCTTTTTACCACCTCCTGACTGCTGCTTCGCGGGACAAGGAGAATATCAACAGGAGCCGAAGTGACGCCCGGTCTGCAAGTCAGAAATGCCCGAAAGCATGCTGGTGAGACCAAACCAGTTTGGATTAAAGCGAGCTTGGGGAAGGTCATCAGATTTCCTAAGATATTGAAAAGATTCCTGCAGTTCGAAGGCTAGCAGGCAACAGGCAACTGCACAGCATCCAGAGAGCAGCAGAGCTCTCGGTAGAAATCATGAATGCTGTAGTTCTGAGGATACGATCTTCGACGAGATTGACATTGATGGCTCTGGGAAGAGACTTCGATGCGTCTCAGGTCCCGATTCCACAGCTGCTAGAAGCAGAAGCTCAGGATTGACAAGGAGGAGTTCCTGGGATGGGTGTTTCAGACCAACAACAGCTTCCTCAGCTCCGTGAGGAGGCTACAAGAAACCTTCTGCCAAGTTTCTGCAAAGAGGGTCCTGACCTCCCTGAGGCGTCTGGAAAGTATGGACCAGTTGAAGGTGAAAGCCTTGTTTGAGCAGATGGATGCTTTGTTGCAAGCCACCAGACCTCATTCTTTGATCCCTTGAGTGGGGCTCATCCATGCGGTCTGCCGCAAAAGGGAAGGAAGCATCAGCTTGGAATCATCCCAAACAACTCCCTGCAATTCAGGCTTTGTGACTGTATAGATCTGACTGGTGTTTGGCTTGCTTAACTTGCAGCTCAGGACAACGATGGCAACAGGGTCATTGACAAGGATGAGTTCTGGGAATTCGTTGAGAAGTTTAGTCCCGGCATGCTGCACCGCACTCAGATGAGGACATGTGCAGCAAATCTCCTCATCCAAATTTTTGGGAACGCTGCAGGCTGCCTTCTGTTCCTCCAAGGTCTCGGTCAGCCAGCGATGAGCTACACGAGTTCATTGATGCTGACAAGTCTGGGGGCATTGCTGCAGACTCAGTGCTGGCAGCCAAGCTCCTGAAGGGATAGAGAGCTGCTTTTGAGGACGTGGAGGAGTTCCTTAATTGGGTGCATCCTGGGCGGGAGCTCAAGATGCTTCGTGCAGAGGTGCCGGATGACAAGGCACCTTAGGGCCTTAGGACTTAAGGTTTAAAGGAACCATCTTTCTCATCACGGCAACTCGCATTGCTGTCGCTACCGCAGGCCATCACTGGGAAGGTCGCAGCGGGCATGATGGCGGTGGACGAGGCACCAAACAGCAGACATTACAAGCAGAGGGAGATTCAAAGAGAGAGAGACCCAAGACCGACCGTATGGTCTGAGAGAGAGAGAGGCCCTGGCAGGGCTGTGAGGCCCTCAAAAGACTTGAGAAGAAGAGGAAGAGGAAGACAGGTTTAGGGTTTAGGGTTTAGGGGTAGGTTGTTGCGGCACTACCAGTCGTGCTTCTGTTAGCCACCACGTTTCACCCATACCAAGGCAACCGACATACAACCCAAACCATATAGGCCTATTTCTGTTTCATAATCCCTGTTCCACCTGTCAATGTCTTTTGTCCTTTGTTCTCCGGTAGACGGTTCGAGCCAGCAACCCTGGTTAACACACCAGGCAAGCGCCTCGACCAAGCAATTCCTACATGCCCACTACCCTAATGTAACAAACAAGCTTGGTGGGGCAAAGAGGGGTTTAGTTCTAGCTTTCAGCCAAGCCCAACACGGGCTGGGCAGGAGCCCGGGTTGGTCCTAGTGGCCAACCCATAGCCCGCACGAAAGAAAGAAAGACAAAGAAAGAAGTGATGGATACTATTTGGTTTCATAGCCCTCACCTTCGTTCCTGGCGAGTACAGTTCCGCCTCCCGGGCACAGCGCCAGAGAGAGCGTTGGCAGGGTGAAAAGCATGAGGCTTGTTTGTAGGGCTCTGTATTAGGCGAGTTCATGGCATGTTTCTGCTTCCTGATAACGCGAGCTCAGGGCCCTGCATCCACGATTACCTTGACTCACCCCGCTGAAGTACAGTGCCATGGCGAAAGTGTCATTGTGGCAGTGGGCTCTTCACACATCAGGTCAGAAGCGATGAAGTTCATGGGCAGCATGCAAGGGAGTATGTTTGCAGATTATATGTTCATTGGGGCTGCTGAGCTTACTCTTGCTGTCTACGCACGCTGTACATGATCAGTAATCGGGGCCCGGCTTGGTGTTTCGCGACGCCTGACCTGTGTGGGGCATTGCCCCAGCCTCCTCCTTTGGGGGAGGTAGCACAGTGAGAAGAAGAAAGAGA